GAAATATTTCCCATATCTGACTACTTGCTACAATCTCCTGAGGAACTTCCAAAGCAATAGCAACAACTGATGTCCAGGCTTTACCCATAGACCAATTAAACCCACATCTCCAGAGTTGTTGTTTGTTTGTTTTTAAAGCTACCCAAATGATGCTAATATGTAGACAGAACTGAGAAACATCACACCTTTGCCTCTACATAGTGTCTCAGCTGATCAGGACTAGCAGTACTGGCCTCCTCTGGAAGTTGGTTAGAAACAGTCTCTCAGGCCTGGCCTCAGACTCCAGAACCATAACTTGTATTTGGACACAGGATCCATATGCACATTCAAGGTTAACAAGGCTGTTCCAGTGCATGTCAATGGATCACAAATCTTTCCATGGAGAGGATGGACAGATTTCTTCTCTCTGTTCCCATCTCCCTTGGCATCACCACCAATAAAGGCAGCTTAAAGTCTTTACAGAAGTCTTTTTCTTTATACACTTAGCCAATGAGAAAAAATTTTTAAAAGGGATAGGAGATGCAAACCTGCCTGTCTCAAAATCACTTGTGAAAGTATATTAAACAGTGCACATTGTTCTTACCCAACCAAATACCCAGTTTCTGTTTCATGTCCCATAATTAAAGACATTAAGAATCACTAACATTCACATCATGAAATCATGAATTCATTTAGACAGTTTTCTTTAATTAACGATGAAGACACTACAGTTCTAAGTACCAGACAGAATCAGGCAAAATAAAATTGAAAACAAGCATAACACTATAAAGAAAACTTGGAAAAGTGAAACACTTCTAAATAAAAAATATAAACCTGGCCTGGTACCCATTACATATATACATAATATGTATGTTATACACATATATACAGTAAATGTTTTGGTAGCAATACAGACCATGCCTTGGTCTTTTGTACACAGATGAAGTAGCACCATGAGCAGCACCACCATCTTAAGATGATAAACCAAACTGCACACACAGTAAATGAAAATATATATTTAGTTAATTTGGCCCACCCTGTAGCCAAGAGGTGTCAGGAAAGTACTTTGTCAGAAAAATTGTCTGGGAACTACATTCTTAGGCCAATGGCAAAGTTCTAAAAAGGAAAAACAGAACAGCACTAAAGATGTCTACACAAATACAGACATATTTTCCTGTGTGTGAATTTCTCCTACTATATGGCATATTGGTTAACACTGGGGAAATGAATAGCATAAGCAAAGATTTGAACACCAGGTGGATGATGAAAGGCTACCACACCGATCTCTTGGTGTATACATCACAAATGCCAAGTCATTGACAAACTAGTAAAGAAAGACAACTCTCCATCTAAGTCATACATTTTCTAATCATATTAGCTAATCTTAAGTTCTTCATTATGATAAATTCCTAAGAGTAGGGCCAAACATTTCCACTATCAGCTAACCCCCTCCTGGCAGCTAATTTGACGCTCCTAGTTACAAGCAGCAAGAGAAACCCCACACACTTAGGAGACTGATTTACAGGACTATAAATGATCTTCTTGGGCTTGGCTTTTGAAATGGCCAAAGGCACCAGTGTTTAACCCTTGATATTCTACTAACTACAGAAAGGCTATCTTTGCTCTCCATGACTAAGCTCGCAGTCTGAATGGAGGCCTATCTCTTAGTATCGGCAAGGTTGTATATCCCCACATTCCTGGAAGAGTATGCTTCTTCAGGTTTCTCAGCATCCCATATGTATGAATACAGCATCATCTCCAACTGACATTCACCCTATCTTAGGAACACTAACCCCACTGTCCAATCACTGCAAAGAAGCTATTTCCTACTTGGTTTCCATCTATTCTCCTTTGCATGCCTTACAGAGTCCCTCCCTCCCTAACTGAGGTCTAAATTCCCAGTGTCTGGTTTGAGGATCTCTGTTTATGATGGTCTGACCACAGAGCTCTGACAAAGCAGCATGAGGCAGATATGGAATCACTGTCACCCATAGTCACAGCACTTCACATTTGTACTGTTCTTCATGGTTCTTACTCTCTATGGATGGGGAGCCTTCTCCCCCCATCCGTAAACCACCTGTAGCAAATGAGTTTCCAACTACAAGGTATATACTGCATTCAGGATGCAAGACAAACAGGACATCAGCACTGTAAAATATTGTTTCTTACAGTACAGTAAAATTATTTCTTAATACTTTGTCCCACATTTAAAAGACAGCTAAAGACAAAAGTCGGGTAAAGAAAAGTTAAAAAATCTCTTTCTGGATGCATGATTTTTAATAGATTCATCTTTGCAGTTACTAGATTTGTTAAGAGTCCTTGACCTTTGAAAGTTAGCAAGAAACAACCACAAATGTAACATCAGTACTAATTTGTCATTATTGACTCAGGTGGTTGATCATTAATGGGTTCTCTTCACTTCCCACTGGTTCTAGGGCCATGCTTTTGCCCAAAATGAACATATTATCAAAGCCATGAAACATATTTGTTCTTTTCACAAAGGAGAATTTTAAAACTGTCCAATTCTCTAAGAAAGAACACTGTGAAAGATTGGTCTCATGAAGATAAGCCACTAACTTCTGGGTTAACCAGACACCACTAGAAGCCCCATTAATATAAGCCCTTGGCTGGCCTACAAATACTTTGAAATGGATAAAAGCCAAGTCACTTCAATAGGAACTGAACACAAGGACTTAGCAGCTGATGTGCTCAAAGTAAACCCTTCGAGAAGTTAGAGCATGAGTTTTTGACTCAAGTACCAGCAACTTCCAGTTTTAAATCAGTAAAGTTTGATACTGCCATCAAACTCAGCTCGGGAACCACTAGAGCAGCTTAAATAAGGATTTCTACCTTTGTGTTACTTGACTCAATAAAAAGCCAAAGATAAGAAACCAAAAATGGATTTTCCAGTCTGTTCATTTCTGTCCTCACCCAAAATATGTTGATAATCCCACATGCAGAGGTATCTTGGTAATACATATTCAAAGTTTAGGTTCCTTAAAAACGACAACCAGCTTTACAAGACATGGTTGAGGCTGACTTCTTTCACTGGTAGCCTTTAATTATTTAAATCCTCAAGGGAAGAGGGCAAGGGAGCTTGCTTTCTTCTTACACTAATAAGAGTCTGAATCAGAATGCTTGAAAAATGAAAACTTACTTTGACAAAGAAAGTGCTTTCTACACAGTGTGAAAAACAACTTTCGTATCAGACTTCCAGAATTGGTGGAATTCTCTTCTAACAGGAAATGATGTAATTCAGCAAATTGAAAATAATGGATTCTTATGATTATAGACCTATTTACCTTAGAAATTGATGAGCATGCAAATGATTAAGATCTGCAACAATGAACCTTGTACAACAGTCTGTGAGGTACATGCCATCTGGTTGAATGAACAGTAACACGGGCCTCAGCAGTATGGTGGGGTCCATTTATCTCCACTCCCTTTTGAGAAGAGTAGGGGTTCCCAATAAGTTGATCAGGGAAGCAGCCACTGCAATGCCCTCCAACCCTGTCCCCTTCCTTCTGGCCCCATCCAGGGAGCTAAGCCTTTCCCAGAAAGAAAATGTTGCTCCTCCTAACAGCAGGGCTCGCAGTGTCTGATACAGGGTTCACACTGACTCAAGGGAGCCTGATATTTGCATTAATTCACTTGATCTTTAGGAAGTTTCCTGGCAAAATGATTAAAAATTCCTCCATAGGCAATATCTTTAAGTGTGCTCATTGACATTTCTATTCACAAGAAAAAAATTCCAAGATGCATATACTTTCCAAACAGGAAAAGGATTAACACTTGCACTGCTGGCTAGATGTTTCAATAGCAATCATTATGCTTGTATGTGCTCTCTGTACACTGTGTTTTATTAACTAATTACTAATAGGCCAGCACCCACTAGGGCAAATAGGCCAATTACATTCAGTTAAATAATGTAACACTGGAAGTTCTCAGAACACAGGAGATAAGGGTCTTGTCTTAATGATAGGGACATGTAGCACTGGTCATCACTTTAACAAACAAAAACCAAAAAAAAAGAGGAAAAACTTTCTGGAATTTTAACTTCTGGCTAGCAAGAACTGACTTGTCTTAACATCCTTTTCAAGACAATGAAGGAAATGAAATACCATAATGTGTGCAGAGAAATAAAAAGTGGTAGGATGTAGTAGAAAGCTTATAGAAGTGGGGATGGGGTGGGAAGCAGATCAACAGTATCTAGTTTATTATGAATAGAAAGACATTTCCAGAATTTACAAACACCTACACTGTTCATTCCAAAGACAGCTTTTGATTTGAAGAGGTTACCCATGTCTCCTCTTCACAGCATATACAATGGAAGACAATGGAAGACTATGATTTCCTTTTCTTATAATTCTGCTTCCATTCAGTGACCAGTTTTAGGCTGACACTTGAAAACACCCCAGTAGAATATATCCTTCTTCAGTTTAATTAACACGGTCTATAGTCTTACAGGAAAAATAAAAAATTAAGATTAATTCTTGTAAGGAACTTAGCTCAACATCAAGTTTATATTACAAGAGATAGTATCAGCAAATATAACTACACAATTGAGAACCATCTATGGCACTTTGATTCTTATATTATTTTTTTCTGAATTACAGTCTTAAAACAAGGATCATACCCTATTCTACTCTTTTCAGCCTTGTTTTAAGCATTTGCTCCACTCTTTACAACAGAACATTGTATACCTCAGTTCCACATCCAAAAAAAAAAAAAATGTGCTGTAAGAAAAATTATTTTCATTAAAAATTACACATATAAATCAAAACTTATGTTAAATATTCAATACGCTCTGCACTCAATGTGAACAGTTCTGTATGAAATAATTTACAATGGTGCTCTGTGGAACACAGTTTCAGCAGCAGATGAAACTTATCTTGTAACTGCAAGGAGAGTAAACCTATTTTTTCTTGACATGGTGGTGTGCAGCAGCTCACTGTGGCCAGCTAAGTTCTTAAGGTTCAAGATGAAGTTTACGCAGACTCATTGTTCCGGTGTCACAGTGCTTTTTTTTGCTTGGCACAATATAGAACGTGCAGTTCAGTCAACGAACTCCTGAGGATTGTATAAAGTAAACAGACTGAAATGGATGCATCGTACCATCTACTGAGGAGGAAGATGTGAGGTCCTGGTTGTGAATCATAAAATAGTTAGAGTCTGGGTACCCATGAGTTAAAGGAGGATTTGCTGAGGTCATTTAGGTCTTCATCCTGGAAAAGAAAATAAAAGAATTTGTCACCATCGGTGTCTTAAAATGCACATTCAATTACAATTTAGGATCACTTCCTTTAAAAGAGAGTATCAGATAAGCCAAAATTACAAGCACAAGTAGTACTGTGTACTTAAATAAAATCAACAAACTGTATTTAACTTTTTCCCTTCAAAATGCAAGAGTCTAAAGCAATCACAAACTGAAAGTAGTCAATATTAAACCAGTAAACAAATCAATGTAATCTGGATATTTCAGAAGTTTGGCAACAAATAAATACAAAATTGTATAAAACTCTCCAAAATATAGTGAGCAGGTTATAGTCAGTCTACGTTCAATCTTCTTGGTTAAAAGTCAACTGCAGGTTTTTGCATTTGAAGATACAGAGCTTAACATTACAAAGTCTGAAATAGTTTTTTTAATATGACATTATTTGACATGAGAATTTTAGATACAAAAGGAGTCCCATGCAAAACAGACCTAGTTAATCATTAAATAAGAAAAGAAAGGAATTCAGACTTAGGTCTAATAGAAATAAGTTATTTAGGCAGAGGCACAGCATTTCTTCTCTGCAATTCAAGAAGGCAGACCTTAAAAGAGCATTATCCATAATTCTCCTTCAGAGAAGAGACGTTCTCAACCTCATAAAGCATCTTTTGCTCTCAAGTATTACATTAGATGGTCCATCAGACATGCCTATTTTTCATGCACTCAAAAGTTAATCTATACATATCAATATTTATAGAGTGGCCTGAACAGTATGCAGCACAAAGAAGATTATCACAAATTCTTGTTGAATGAGTAAATGGCTCCACTAAGTACTATGGAAGATTCAGAGTTGAATTCTGCTATAAGCCTTTAGAGCAATTATAGAACGGCAGGTATGCTCCATTCATAAATAGAATGAAAAGTAGACAGGTGAATTTCATGATAGACTCACAGAGCAGAATAGCTATAGAGACATGGAGAAGGGCATGTCTCTTAGGGAAATACTTTGCTGGCACAGGCGTCTGGGTTTGGAAGACAAGGAATAATTTCAGGATGTGGAAATAGGGCTTCTGTCTATGATGCTTCAGTGGTAGCACAAGGTCTGCCACATAGCAGGTCCTCAATAACAGACGACAGGGACACAGCACACTTTCCATGGAAGACCTAACAAAACAAGGTCCAAGGGGATGAGTGGCCAGCACAGACAGGCTATGCAAGGGACATGGCTTCACAGGATGACCTGTCTTATAAAGAGGGACACTGGAGTTAAATCTACAGATTTAGATTGAATAGATGGTGAAAAAACTTGACTGAAAGATCAAGAGGTCTTTAATTACATGGCCAAAAAGGATGTGCTTTAACATATGATCACGACCCACATCAGCAATGGTTTCTAAAATTCACAAACACAGGCACTGACTAATAAAAAGTGCACCCCTCTCCTCCCTCCCTTCCTCTCTTATTATCTCTCCTTCCCTCCCTTTCTTCTTTCTTTTTTTTTGTTTTGGAAACAGGGCCTCACTATGTAGCTCAGGCTGGCCTTGAACTCCTGATCCCCCTGCCTCAGCCTTCCCAGTGCTGGGATTACACATGTAAGCTGCCACCAAGCCAGCCTTTCTCTCCTTTTGAAGGGTTGATTATGATTAAGATCCATCAGCTTTCACTACCCACATAATGGCCCTCAGGTAAGTCAAAGTTTACCAAATGAAGACTAGTTTTATGAGATTTTTCTTTATTTAAAAATATTAAGTCTGCCTCTAAAAGCCAGATAAACTTTTCTTCTTAACTTACTAATAAAGACTTGGCATGGAAGTGCCAATGCAAGCACAAACAAATAGAAAAGCATTCCAGGCTTATCCCTTTAATTGTCAGAGAAACAGGATTTCCTTCATGTGGTCACTGAGAGTGAAAGGCAAGTCCATTCTTCCACAGCCCTTGCTGTGTAACTCCCCAGACAAGGAGCTCCATGGTTCAAATTTTCTTTCATGTTTCTTTCACGTGGGAATGCTCCTTCCAGAATATCTAGATACAGCTGAACACAGCATCACGGTTCTGAGCCTAAAATTAGGCAGGAAAGCCACACTATATTAAAGGACTTGTGACAAAGAGAGAACTGCCAAATATACAATGGGAGAAAAAGCAAAGGGCATGCAGCATGTTTTCCATTTCATAACTGGCACTGAGCCAGAAGGGCTGAATGAACAGCTTAGGACAGGAACAAACTGTACTGCATTTTATCTTCACACGTGCCAACCTGCCTGGATACACAGGGCAGAGAACGGAGGCCCTGTGAGGAGGGAGAGAAATATGGCCTCAGTAGGTGCTAAAGTCTATTGTTTTGCACCAGTAGGAGCCACCCTTGTAATTTTCCATAAGTATGTGCAAAAAGCAGGAAATGAAAGGACATATCAATTCCACAATACACCTTCCTTCTAAAGTCTTAGCATAGTACCTTTGAAAAGGCCTTCATCATAAATCCTGATCAACACGTGTCTGTGCTATTAATGCTGCCTACTGGAGCCATCAATTTAGGAGTCTGTGAAAAAGGGAAACCAAGAGGTGATGTGTGAGGCAATGCTGACATGGTGAGTGGGGATCAGAAGTCTACAGAGACCTGGAACAATTTAAAGAGAAAGTCAGAAATTCACCTGTCTTTGTACAAGGGTGTGCACATGTGTATGTACGTAAAGTACCCAGAAATGACATGGGTTTTTCACAGGCATCCTCAGTGAGAACTGCCTGTCACAGCGGCCACCTTGGGGGCTGCTTACTTAATTCCAATCATGCAGCCATTGTCTGCAGCATTTTTGGAATGCCTTCTCAAGTTCCATTTCTTTACTTGCAACTAGCTTCTCAGCTTCAGGCATATTCTTTTCAATGGTCTCTATAGCAGCCAGTCTTAGCCCTCGGAGGGCACATTTGATCTTTGGAAACAGCCAAAAAGCTTTGAGAGCCAAATATGGTGAATAAAGGGGCTGATTAAACAGTATAATGGTTCCCAGTGAGGTATTATCTAAAGCCAAAGAGTTCCCAAATTTTAGAATTCTGAAGTTTCAAAAACATAGTTGTTCATGACAGTTATCCTGATAAGTTAGTTAGAAAGGAAATCTAATGACATTATAGACAGACCTCGAAATATACTTCATGGCACGAGCATTCACCTTTCCAGTTCCCTGCCTCTAAATGTGAAAAGCTGAATTTGAATCAAGCAATGCACTTAAAGAAAGGATAAGATCTATCTATCTATCTATCTATCATCTATCATCTATCTATCTATCTATCTATCTATCTATCTATCTATCTATCTATCATCTATCTACCAATTGATATGTGTAATTTAACAACACGTTTAAAAAGAGATTGAAAGAGCAATACCCATTCTAGGGTTCCTGCACTCATTCACCTCAATAAATGTCTGTAAGTGACAAACACAAATGCAATAATAAATAATGCAGTAAGCACCAAAAAAGATGACAAAGCATATGTATATTTAACATACTTTATATACATAACCTCAATGGGCAGACCCCAACCACATGCAGCAAATATTGCCACACTGCTTTACCAATACAAATGATCATTGGTGATACTTATCAACTGGAAACCAAAAAGCAAAGCATTTGCTTTAGGGGAAATGCTGTGAAAGTATCAACTGCTGATGTTCTGTGATATATTTTCTCTAGTTATATCAGTGGTGAATAACTTCTGAATCCAGAAATACGATGCACCTGTCAGAAGATTTAGTAGCAGGAAATTACATTTTGACAAAATTTCATCACCACATCAGTATCTATTGTACTCTTTTGTATGTATCTTCTTGTAAGATAAAACCCACCTGATTTTGTTTCTAGTAATGAAAATGTAATTTTTAAAGCATTATAAAATAAGTCAACACTTGAGCAATGCTACTTAAGACCTATGGATTACTGCATTATTGCATCCAGAAGGAATTTACATCTTCTGGATTGTACCCTCTGAAACTATGCTTACTAGAGCCGAAAGACAAATAAAGCTTTTGCTTTCTTTCATACTGTCTCAGTCTGCTGCTCAGTTTTGACTATAAAAGCTGAAAACAGCAGCGTTAAGACATAATTACAAGGGAAGGACTGGACCCCTTCAGCAATGACTTTTTAGTCAAAACCATTAACAAGTGTCTTCATCTTGTATCTACATGTTTTGAAACTTCTTGCCAATTTGTTGAGTCAGGTGTAACCAAGTAATAAGTATCTGATCAGGGCATTCTTAGTAGGAAGAAATAGGTGTAAAAATTTGTGAGATTGTAATGTGACTGTTATCACATACTAAAATATAGCCAGAAAGTCATCCTTCCTCATGCTTTAAAAAATGACTACAGTAATCACTTTTCTTCAAATGGGGAGCATTATTTGAAATCTTTAATTGTAGATGTAACTAGAAAAATTCATATAAATTAAATTCCCCCACCTAAGGAAATGTGTCAACAGATTTCTCTCTTAACATAAATAGCTGTGTGTTTTTTTAAAAAAAATCTTGAGTATAATACAAAAAATGCATAAATAACAGGAACATGTAATGAAGGAATAACCATTATTTGTAATTCCTAACACCCAAGGAAAACCATTATTCAGCTGTGGTTCTAATTTCATTATTTACTTGAAAGACTTGAATTTTTATAATTTTGCATTTAATGTCATAAAATGTTTAAAAAGGAGAAGAAAATAACTGCAAAGCATAGATCTTTCTCATTCTTAAAAATCTGCATTCAGAAAAACATGAAGTGTTAGCCTATTTTTTAGATTATCTGTTTTCCATTTTCCTAATTCACTGTATATCACTGGAAAGTAGAAAGTGCCTCTGACTTTTTGGCTTTAGTTTCCAAAATCCTAAGTTTTTAAGGGAAGCACATCAACAAAGTTTTTGGAAGAACTAATAAGGAAGAAGGGTTCCTTTCAGAGGAGAAAAAGGTTCCCCTCCACTGGGAATGGAAAGGGCAAAGGTAGAGTGACATGAGAGTACACAAGTGGGTCAATCGGC